GTCTGCTTGGTCAAGGCTTCCGATGAGGAAGCATTCATCGACAATTTCAGTAGATAACATTACAAACATTTTTAACAGGGGCCATAATAGTGTAAATAATGTTTGTTTTGGCAGTTATAACTGAATGTAATGTTTTCTACTTTTTTACATCTGGGAAGGCATTTGCTTTCATCAGATGGAAAGTGTCTTGACCAACAACTTAAGTATTGCTTATAGCTATGCAGGGCATGCAAGCGAGCAAACAAGAGAAAACAAACAAATGAAATGAAGAATAAAATTGAAATTGTACAATATAATATTGTGGTGGTTCATCTTATAATTCAGTCTAGAGAATGCACCAGACAGCATCTACAGTAAGACCTGGAAAAATCTAAATGTTCTAGGGGCAGGCCCCCCAAACCCTTCGTGCCATTTCGTCCGCGCACATTTTTCAGGGCAATCTCTATTGGGCTCAGGGCCATCTGTAAATTAGCTTAGATGGCCCACAGGGCCATCTCCCAAAATCCTTAATGTCATGCACTGTGCTGTATACTTTTGTTTAGCGAACTAATAATAATAATACATTTTATTTTTAGGCGCCTTTCATGACACCCAAAGACACTGTACAATGTGTTAAAAAAAGAAAACGCTAATAGGCAACAGAACATGATAAAAACACAAACAGGAAATCATGGAGGAGACAATCAAGTGGACACAAATGAAACATATAATGACTAACAAACACATGTTCTTATGCTAAAAGAAACTATGCTAACAGGACTTCATTCTCAAAGTTATTGACTGAATAACAAAGAGATGTTTTTTTGTCAGCAGCAGCAGAGGAAGGAGCTGACGGAGAGAGCTAGGTGAGTGAAAAGTGTAAAATAAAAACATTCTTATGCCTGAAACCGTCTTCGACAGCCACAGACTTTTACTGCCGGCCACTTGGACACCATCACCGGAAGAGTCATGACTGAGTGCTTTGTTTATGGGAACTCTTCTCATTTGGCTCTTGTACAGATTTTCCAAAACAAGGAGACATTTTACTCCTCTGTGAAGCTTTCATAATCTCACTTGACATTCCCACAGAGCCAAATTCATCCTCTTATCAACTAGGCTCCAACTTTTACAACATGAAATATTTGTTTTAAGTTTTTTTCTTGTGGGAACTTCAGCACGATCTTTGAAATAAAAACGTTCCTGTTAGCTGAAGCACACAACATTAATGGGATTATGTGCTCGGCAGAATCAAAGCCGCTTGGCAACAGTATCAAAGGCCAGCATCCACTGCAAGAAAATAAAGCAACTTTTTTTATGGTTGCCAATCTTTATGAAATGTGTTTGAACAGAGATAGAGCTATTCAACAGCAAAGGAGACACATCAAGGTCGCTGGGGTGGGTGTTTGTCTATGACACAATGGATACATGTGGACTTTGATCTCACGCTGTTTTCTGGAGATTATTACCATTGAATCCATCACCTTCATGTCATAAAAACAAAAGCACAGGGACATTAAAGCAAGAGCTACAATATGGTTGTCCTGAAAATGGTTGCCAAAGTTGCCAAGAAAGGAGGCAATAATGATCAATACACTCAGTTATTGAACATGGAAAAACCCATTGTAAAAAGCCAGTGGGCATAATGTTAGTAATAAAAGGTCTACGAAATAAAACCTTTTCTCTCCAGACAGCAGTTTGAGACAGTAATCCACGCCTTTGTCACCACTCAACTGGATTACTGTAACTCTTTCTACACGGGGGTCAGTGGGTCCTCCCTCGGTCGTCTGCAGCTGGTGTAAAATGCCGCAGCAAGGCTTTTAACTGGCACACGGAAATATGACCACATTTCCCCCATTTTGGCATCGCTACATTGGCTGCCAATACATCTTAGGACTCATTTCAAAATCCTTTTATTTACTCTTAAATCACTAAATGGCATGACCCCACCATATCTTTCTGAGCTGCTACGCCCTTACACGCCCAAACGCCCTCTCAGGTCAGCGGCGGATCAACCAACAACAGCTCCGGAATGTGCCCAGAACCAAGTCAAAGCGGAGAGGGGACCGTTGCTTTTCTGTAGCGGCTCCCACACGGTGGAATGATCTGCCCATGCATATCAGACAGGCCTTCACACTGCCTGCTTTTAAATCGCTTCCTAAAACCCACCTCTTCTCCTTAGCGTATTAACATCTTTTAGAGTGTTGCTTTTACTGCTTTTAAATTGCCTATTGTTTTTACTTGTACTTGTTTTATGGTGTGTGAGCTGTGCTGTGTGATTTTTTTTGTATGTTTTGTTTTGTTTATTTGACTGTACAGCACTTTGGAGGTTTAAAGTGCTCTATAAATAAAAATCTATTGTATTGTATTGTACAAACTTGTTGTGTTAGCTCCCATTCAACTAGTAGTTACTACAACTTGTTTCTCTTTTGAAACTCTAATATGGAAATAGCTACAATTAAAATTATCAAAATAATAAATGAATAGAAAAGAAAGTCTTCAGAGATTCATTTTCTTCTCTCTCCATGACAGCCATGCTTGAGAAGTCACATTCAATACCATGTTTTTCTTAATAAAAGGGGCAGCCAGCTATGTTTCCAGTCATTGGACAAAGATGTGTGTGTGTCCCATTGCTAGGTGGCAGCAAAAATAAATATAGCCTACTACTACACATGGACCACCACAAGCATGCAATGGCAGAGCCGTGAAGTTTATGGACAAATTACCGGTTGCATTGATTTGACTTCAAAGTAAAAGTGCAACTATGAATTACAAGCAGCTTTGTGTTCCAAAATCAGTCAGTAGCTTACATAAAATCTATGTGGATAAACAGAGATTAAATGTATGCCAAAAATGTATTTGTGCCTGTCTGGAAATTTCCATTTTATCAGGCCACATATCCCTCTTAAAAAAATTGAAGATTGACCCTCTCCACTTCGAAAACCCCAGAAGCATTTTTTGTAAGCATGTTTATTGAATTTATACATGTAACCCATTATACATATATATGATAACCCTTCCCATTGAGAACTACTTAATTTCATGAAATACACCAAGTTATTATAATAAGTAAGTAATAAGTAAATTAATACATTGAAGGATTAATGGTAAACCCTGCAGTGAACCATTTTGTCTTTCAGTCAACCGCTTACATTTTGCTATTAAATTCCAACATATCTTTTCCTTTATGTTTCTTCCATTGGGTCTTGATTTCATTTTGTATTCATATAAAATGTGTAGTGAGCAGTCTCAGCCTGGAGTGGTTTTACTTTGAAAACCTCTAACCGGAAACGCCCGGTTTCATCATGGCGGACTTGACATTTGTGGAAGTGTCTGAGTTGAAAACGGGAAGCAGGAACCGGGAAAGAGTGTATAATGAGACCGCTGCTGCTGCGCCCTCCGCTCGGCTGCCTGGACTCATTTTTCGGCTCATTTCGTGCTTCTAGAAACAAACTCGTCACACAAGCAGCAGTAGTTCCGCATCTGTATTATTTCAGGAAAACGATGCACTATCAAACGGAGGAGAGAGGACGCCCCCATTCTCCTGACTACCGGATTTATTTTAGTAAGTTATGATCATCACCGCCATGGGGACGAACCATTGCGTGTCCCATTCATTTCGTAGTGTTTTAGCACACGCTGTGTGACAGGTAACCTGCAGGTCAAGGTTTGACCTTTGAGTTGCATGCGCAAGGTTGTTATCGTAGCACTATTAGCACTTAGCTTTGGAGTGAAACCCCCCTTAAAATGCTCAACGATAGTTCCCCGTTTGCTGAAATGGTGCATTAGCAGAAAGGCGAGAATGATGTTTCTATTTAGATCCGGGACACATCCTCACGTGGTTTTTACTTCCTGTTTGGGCTGTCACGTGGATAATAGCTACACAGAAATATTGAGATTAACTAGTAAAATTATGATATAATGCAACACATTACTAACCTAGTACAGTGTCACTTTGTTATGTGTCCAATATGGATAATGTTACTATATTTGGTCGTGACTGTAGGTGTTTTAATTTAAACAATAAGAAGTTGGCAACTTTTAGTGTCTAGTATAATTTATAAATGAACATGAATGACTGAAAACGGATTAAATTAGGAAATATTTAAAACAGTCAGCCTTTCTTAGTGAATCGAACATTGCTATGACAAGAACAACTATGCCTATAAAGGTCACGAATACAATAATATATTTTGTCTCAATCAAAAAAGCAAATGCTGTATTTGGCTAAATTTGCATTTCATGGAATACTTCAGCCACAAAATGCATCAGTTACTCACCCGTTGTCACTTTGAATTGTTAAAGATAAACGTGTTTATCTCGCAGCCTCCAAGGTGAATGAAGAATAAAAAAACATGGAGAAAAGACTTGATTTGAAAAAAGGAGGCCACGTTTAACAAAAGCAAAACTTTATCTGTTTACAAATAATTGTATGTTCATACTGTTTGTATTGAGGTTGCTGTATTATTTAAAACTTTTTGGCTTTGTTTTTTCTCAGAAACATCTGATGGAAAATACATTTCACCTTTCCATGACATCTCACTCATAGCGGAGACAGAACAGGTAACACTTTGATAACACCTGAGTGATAGATACTGTAAAAATGTCACAACCTGGATAAACATAATATTCATACCAGCAATTTACACATTTGTTTTTGTTTCAACAGGACAATGATGTGCCAGCTAAAAAGCCCAAGAAGAATGACAGTGAGGTAATGTCTGATTTAAATAATTTATCATAGTTTGACCACCTGGAAACGTTCGACCCCAGCAAACACTGCATAAAGCTTTCTTTCTTTCTCCAGGTGCTCTTTAACATGGTGGTGGAGGTACCTCGATGGTCAAATGCTAAAATGGAGGTGAGAAGGCAGTACACTACCTCACTTTTATGATTGTTTATTATTATTTCACATTTACTACTACTGCTTAGGTAAAGGCTGATATTGACATTTTCAAGTTATAACTGGAACGCCAACTCCTATTCATTGAAACTCCAAGAGTTTAACATGAGTAGCCTCAAACTATTACTGTTATTATTTAATGTTTTTCTAAACTGAGGGTCCAATATTAGCTTTTTCCCCAGTTAGCATTGCAGTAGCTTGACACTGTTCTGAGTGTTAATGAAAACATTTAATTAAGTTTACAAAATTACACAAGTCTTTATTATTTGCTTCTTTTTCCAGATTGCAACTAAGGAACCCCTGAACCCGATCAAACAAGATGTGAAGAAAGGAAAGCTCCGGTATGTTGCCAACATATTTCCCCACAAAGGTTACATCTGGAATTATGGGGCGATTCCACAGGTGAGGAAAATGCACGGAAGAAAATTAAGTTATTCAGGCTTTTTATGTAAAAACATCCATAAGACTTAGACCTAGTGATTAATTCATTTTTTGTGTCCAGAAATTTTTTGTCAGCTGTGTGTTTATTTATTTATTTAATTAATCAAAAAGTTTGGTTGAACACTTTCATTTCTTATATGTTTTTGAACGGTTCCTATGGAAAGACGTGGGAAGACCCGAACCACACGGACGCAGAGACAAAGTGTTGTGGTGACAATGATCCCATCGACGTTTGTGAGATCGGCACCCAAGTAAGACTGCTTTAAAGGGGACCTATCATGCAAAATGCACGTCTTTTATACATGAATATGTGTCCCCGGTGTTCCAGGGAACTCACCAAGTGTCAGAAAACACAACCCTCTCTCTTTTCCTCCATACCCAAATCTCTAAAAACGGGGCTGCAACGGAGGTGATTATTATTTGAATTTTTCGGAAAAGGGGTGCTCCGCCTATATGGGCAACTCTCCACCTATCAGGGGAATGAGAGACCGCTCGAAAGAGCTGGAGACGCTGTAGTACATATGCCAGGCCTGTAAGTGGCGCTGCAGTCTGCTACAAAAGCAGATTCAGCCCTTGTAAAAACAGGGCTTGGAATAGAGCAAATAGAGCGAAATGAGGCATGGCTAAAATCCATGATCTGTTTGGTATTTGGAAAAAAAAACTTCACAGACATGTTTTATATAGGTATGGCCCTACAGTATGTGTTTCAAATATAGCATGATAGGTCCACTTTAAATGTTTATTAATATACAAATGTTATCATTAACACCTCTTGTTCTCAAATACCAACTATGTGCAATATATATATATGCGCGGTTAAAAACTGTGCAATATATACCTGGCTGCTAAATCCTCAGAACTTACTTTTTTTGTATGCATGCTTAGGTAACATTAAGCTGTCTTTTTAGCTCTTTTCTGCTGTAACAATGTAACGTTCCCCTCTGTGGGACTAATAAAGGTACTATGATTCTGATTCTATAGGTTTTTTAATTACTATATCTTTCGAAGATAACCTGGATTGATTTGACTACTTATTTGTTATCTGTTGTGATGTGTTTCAGGTGTGCTCTCCAGGTCAGGTGATCCAGGTGAAAGTGCTCGGTATCCTGGCCATGATCGATGAGGGAGAAATGGACTGGAAGGTCATCGCTATCAACGTTAAGGACCCTGACGCCAAAAAGCTGAACAGTGGGTGTTTTCCTCAGATCACATCAACAGCCAGCATCTAAAAACCGCCTTACAATGATCCATTGTCTAGCCTGGAATAATTTAGTTCAGGAATCCTTGCCTCAGGGAAAATAGGAATTTATCTATACGCAAAACTTTTAAGTACAAATGGTTTTATATTAAGTGTCAATGAAAGTAAATGAATATGCCCAACCTATCTCCAGAGCTTGTCAGATCCACACTTTATCACATACAGGGGCGGACTGGGACTAAAAATCAGCCCTGGAATCTCACCCAGGGGGGGGGTGCTAGTGAACTGTCAACAACCTCTGTCGGCATTCTACAGATGGCCAGTCCGCCCCTGCCGGTAACGCAGTGTAAATGAAGTGACAATGATCCCATCGACGTTTGTGAGGGTAACGGCCCATCGGGATCCGTCCCGAATGTCCCGATGGCCAGTCCGCCACTGATCACATATGATGATAAATAATTTGTCTGTGTGAGTTGGCAAGTCAGACAGAAACTTCAGACTATAGTTTAAACTCTTACCTAAAACCTTCCCTGTGGAGTTTTCATTGTCAACACAGCTTTGTTTACAATCAACATTTCTCTACTAAACTATTGTGTATATCCTAAAGGCATTATAAACATGCTGAATGTTTCTTACAGCATTTGAATAACCTGTTCTACTTTTATGCATTGTTTACTATACAGCTGCAACCTTCTCCTAGTGTGGTTTTAACAGGGCATAATACATTGATTAAGGCCTGTCCACATCTAAAGAAATGTTAAACTGAGTTTCTCCACAAATGATCATGTTAAATCTTGTGCTCATGTGTTTGTTGAAAAAGTAATTAAGCAAGAATAAAGGAACAACAATTACTTTCTAAGTATTTCAAATGTACTTTTCTAACATCTATACTCGTAATAAGAGATGGCAGTTCTAATTAATTACCTTTTTAATTTCTAATCTCGAAAACGTTTCTAAACAAATACCATTCTACTGAAGGTAGACACACTCTTTATTTTGCAACATGATATATCCCTAAAGTGTAAATGGAGTCAGTCGTATGTAATTTATATTTAAGACAAATTATTGTGCATTTAGTGCTCTGTTGTGATTCTGTTTAATTTGTTTTCTTCGGGCATAGA